GTAGCTGGGATTACAGGCGCGCGCCACCATGCCCAGCTGATTTTTTTGTATTTTTAGTAGAGACGGGGTTTCACCATGTTGACCAGGATGGTCTCGATCTCTTGACGTCGTGATCCACCCGCCTCGGCCTCCCAAAGTGCTGGGATTACAGGCTTGAGCCACCGCGCCCGGCTTCAGTGCTGATTTTTTATCAGTCAAGCCAAAATTATAAGTCAGATGGAGGAAAAATGCATGTGAGCAAATTTCTTTACTTCCTATGAACACACACTTCCATTACCACAGTCTAAAACATTCTGCCATCTTAGACATTCTAGTTCGTAAGGATTTCTAATTTAAGAGATCACTTGGTATTTAATTTTTATATTCACGATACAAATTGCTTTTAATTTATTCCCAGAAAATGCATTGGGAAATAATTATATTTTAATCTGAGATCATTTTATTAATATAAATTAATAAATCATTTAAATTTTTTACAGCCTGTCAGAGTTGTTCAATATAATATCAATACAGAAGAATTGTATTCCTACCTAAAGGAATTCATCCACATACTATATTTCAGGTAAGATACATTTTGTTTTCTAGCTTTTATGATTAGATAGATTTTCCTAATGCCATAGTGATAATTGGTTGTATTGCATCTGAGGCAAAAAAAAGAAATTGACTTCTGTTGCCATTTTTACAGGTTTATTTTCAATCTTTTAAAAAATATATTTGAAGACTAGAAAACTGGCAGACATGAGGAAATACTGAAAATGAAATGTTCGTTAATGAAATGAACTGAAAATTAAATTATTCTACATTCATACAGTGAAATACCATGCAGCTATTAAAAAAAGAGTTCTGTATCTGTATGTAGTAGTACAGAAAGGTGTGTTGGATATATTGATAAGTGAAATAAGCAAGTTAAAGAACCACATCTATGGAATGCGTATTTCTGTTAACGTATACCCCCATACATCTGCAGAATGAAAAAAATATACAAACTTCTATCAGTGGTAGTTCTGGGTAGTAGGAACATAGGGTTCTTGTACTTTGCAAGTTTTACATGTCATAATATTTGGAGCTTTGGGAGCATATATTACTGTTGTAACCTAAAAAAGAAAGAAATATCACCAGATACCATGGCTCACACCTGTAGTCCTAGCTTCTTGGAAGGCTGAGGTCTGGAGGATGACTTGAACCCAGGAGGCAGAGTTTGCAGTGAGGTTAGATTGTACCTCTGCACTCCAACTTGCAGAGGTACAATCTAACCTGGCTCTAGCAGAGCCAGATCCTGTCTCAAAACAAAACAAAACAAAACAAAACAAAACAACAACAAACTATGTCATGGCTCAAGTTGGTAATCATAATAGGCTATAATTTTAGGTTCCTGAGATAAATAAGTTAATGAAGTTCCTAGCACATTGCACGGTACGTGGTAAAAGGTCAGAAACGTTATCTTTCTGGGGTAATAAAATAAAGATGTCTTTTTGTGATAAAATGTCTTAAGGTAATACAGTTTCACTATTCTTAAATTGTATGACTTATCAAAATGAATAAAAACTTTTACTTATTTTTAAAACCAAAACTGTCACTTTTCAGGCATCTACTGGTGAATCCCAGAGACCGCCGAGTTGTGATTATCGAGTCGGTATTATGTCCTTCTCACTTCAGAGAGACACTCACTCGTGTTCTTTTCAAATATTTTGAGGTACCTGTCTTTACATCAAATAAGTAAATTGCTTTTGAAATAAAAAGAAAAGCAATAAAATTCTTACTAGTTTTTAGGGAATCTTTCTTCCCTTTTTTTTTGCTGGTAGTTACTCCAAACTTAAACTAAAAAAAGCCCTCATTTTTTTTTTTTTGTCTCATATTGTATATGGCACACAGTGTAATTGGGGAACCAGATGATAGATGCTTCTTCAAATTGTCCATTTATCGGCTGGGCTTGGTGGCTCACGAGGGTAATCCAGGCACTTTGGAGGCCAAGGTGGGCGGATCACCTGAGGTCGGGAGTTCAAGACCAGCATGACCAACATGGTGAAACCCCGTCTTTAAAAAAAGAAAAAATGCAAATTGTCCATTTATCTTCTTCCTTTGTGTGGTTATTTCATGCTTTAGTATGTCATCCAATACTTACATAATTGGAGATTTCTTTTCATTACTGTTTATTTATTTTAATATAGGTTTTTCTATTTGGGGACTTTTTTTTTCAGAATTAAAAGGTATATTCTGTGCTATGGACTTTGTGATATGTTTCTTCCAGATCTTTCTAGCTTCCATTGCTTAGTTACACTGTTCTGAATTAAGTCATTTTAGGCTTCAAGTTCGTTTAAAATGGAATAGTCAGTGTCTCCCTTAGAGTAAGTCAATAATGCCAGGAATGAGACTTACTTCATGGTACAAGTAATATTACCTGTAGCTTTGATTTTATGGGAGTCAGGATTATTTTATAACCAAGAATATGTTTTAACATTAATGTATTTCATAGTAAACCAGAATCTTTATTATTCAAATTTTGTTAAATCTCTGCTTTGAAATTTAGGTTTTTTATCAGCAAGAAAAAAATGGAAGATTATAAAGTTCAGTGTGTAAGAAAGTAAGCACATATAAATGTATTTTCATACTTCCTCTTGAATTCAAAACATACCTAATACCAAAAATCACAATGTCTTTATGAGTTAAAGGCACTTAATATTTCTAAGTTATGTTTTTTTAAAGCAGGTACAGGGAATCAGGTTGCATAGCTTTCCGTACTTACTGATGTTGTGAATCCAGGAATTTCATTTGCTGTAGGGAGAACATAAAGCAAAACAAGAAGTTGTATCAGCTGCCATCTGAATAAAGTGGAATATTCTTTATATTTATAATTAAGAGTTTGTGTTAATATCCTTATCTTCTATAAGACTAAATACCTGCTTTATCTATTTAGATAGTGGAAATACAGCCATTATTTTGTCTGCCATTTGATTATGATGGACTTTCATATTTTGATTGAATGTCTAGTATTTGGGATACTACCAGATCTGGCAAATTCTTACTGAAAAAAATTCCACACAGAGTCAACTACTTGTGTAATTTTGTCCTTCAGTTTAATTTTAACGATACTCATAGTTCAATTAGCCAGACATGGTGGCATGCGCCTATAGTCCCAGCTACTTAGAAGACTAAGGTGGGAGGATTGCCTGAGCCCAGGAGTTCGAGGCTGCAATGACCTGTGACTGCACCACTGGACTGCAGCCTGGGCAATGGAGCAAGACTTTGTCTCTAAGAAAAAAATAAAAATTTAAGTAAAAAAGAAAAAGTAAAAATAAATAGTTCATATTATAAACTTTGCAAATAAAGACGATGAAGAATTTTTTTCTACATTTTCATCTTAATGGTAAAGGCATCTCTTTATTTTTTTAATTTAACATCTTTCTCTAAATTTATGTTTCTAGACCTTTTTTTTTTTTTTTGAGATGGAGTCTCACTCTGTTGGCTGGGCTGGAGTGCAATGGCACGATCTTGGCTCACTACAATCTCCGATTCCCAGGGTCAAGCGATTTTTCTGCCTCAGACTCTCTAATAGCTGGAATTACAGGCAGATGTCATGACACCCAGCTAATTTTTGTATTTTTAGTAGAGACAGTGTTTTACCATGTTGGTCAGGCTGGTTTCGAACTCCTGACCTCAGGTGATCCACCTGCCTTGGTCTCCCAAAGTGCTGGGATTACAGGTGTGAGCCACTATGCCTGGCCTGTAGACCTCTTCTTTTATTCTTTTCAATTTTCCCTGCTGAAAGAGGACAAGGATAAAGAAAAATGCTTCATAATTGTCATTTTGGAATGAAACAGCTGAGCTGTTTTTATTACAGTGTATTTTGGAATTTACTCAATAAGAGTAAATATATAAATCAACAAACTAGTTTTTAATTACTCTCATAAAATGTTTGAATAGGTATCACCATATAAATTAATGCAATGTTCCTTTGAATTTTTTCAAATATACTTGAATATAAGGCAAATACCTTGAAATAATGACACTCATTCTGATTTTGTTGTTGTTTTAATTTTGTTATTTTCTAGGTTCCATCTGTATTGCTTGCTCCAAGTCATCTAATGGCTCTTCTGACGCTTGGAATTAATTCTGCCATGGTCCTAGATTGTGGATATAGGGAAAGCCTGGTGTTACCCATATCTTTTTGTCAGCCAGCCAACTTTGCAGTCTTTAACTAAAATAATTAGGCTAATTACAAATGATTGGTATTATACTGAACTATTAGGTTACTATGTACAAATATGAATCCTGTGGAAAAAGTTCACAGGATTGTAAGACTTAAGGTTACTTTTTGTAGAAGTTACCGCTGTCATTTGGTCCCAGGATATATTCCAGGAGCATACATCATGAATATTACGTTCAGTTTTTAAAAGAAAAATCAGCGAATTAGGATGTGTCAAAGAAGTTGACTAGGATAGTCAAGTTCTAAGAAAAAAAGTCAGAGTAATTGGAGAAACTGAAATGAGAATGTTCAATCCAGAAAAATTTTAAAACTTAATAGCAACATGAAATCAGTGTTCAAATAGCTGAAAAGCTCACTATAGAAAAATGAATTCATTTTTACTTTTATTTTTATTTTTAATCTCCAGAGGCTATCATGAAGGCACTATGCCTTAGTGTTTATGAGGTTGGATCTTAGAATCAAATACACAATAAGTCCAGATCTCAGCTATACTTCTTACTACGTGGTCAAGTAGCTTAATCTCTTTGGGCCTCAGTTTCTTTATAAATTGGGGATTATAATATTTCCATCTCATGGGAGAGTTGTGTTAGTTGAGTGAGGTAATATATGTAAAGTGTTTAGCATAGGATTTGGCAGATAGTAATTTGCTCAGTACATGCTGTGGTTTTTATATCGTTGACCATAGGTAAGAACTTACTAATAATAACTTGCTAATAATAATAACCGTAACCCTAACCCTAGTCCTAGTATAAACTTAGTAATAATTCAAGCTGTCCCAAAGTAGAATTACTGACTATATAAACTAGTATTTATATAAAATACTAGGGTTATTTTATTTTATAAAATAAACATTTATTTTCATTATAAATATTTAAGCAGAGTATAGGTAAGTGAAATTGTCCTAATGGACATTGCTTCATTGAAAAGGATGTTGACATGCATAAATGTGAGACTTGCAATTTTGAGACCTACATGTATATTTATTAGAAAAAATATTCATGGAAGAATCATTAACTCCTAAGGAATTTAATCAAGCAGTAGTGTTTTTGAGTGTAAAGTACTTTGTGTTTAATTCTTAAAACAACTGAGCAACGTAAGTATTATTATTCTCATTATATAAATGAGAATGTTGAGAGTTAGGTTGACCCCTCTTCATATAAACATGTAGCCAGAATATAACCCATGTTTGTTTCCAAAGCTGATGCTCTTACCAATATACTTAGCAAACCCACAGTAAATATTATTTACTTTCCTCTCAGCTCTGTCCTGTAGAAATATAATGTGGGCCATGTATGTAAAAATTTAAAGTGTTCTAGGCTGGGCACCGTGGCTCACACATGTAATCCTAAGACCTTGGGAGGCTGAGGTGGGAGGATCACTTGAGTCCAGGAGTTCGAGACCAGCCCGGCCAACTTGACAAAACCCCATCTCTACTAAAAATACAAAAATTAGCCAGGTGTGGTGGCACATGCCTGTAATCCTGACTACTTTAGAAGGCTGAGGCACAAGAATCACTTGAACCTGGGAGCTGGAGGTTGCACTGAGCCAGGATTGCACCACTGCATTCCAGCCTGGGCTATAGAGTGAGACCCTTTTCCAAGTAAATAAATAAATAAAAGTTTTCTAAGAGCCACATTTTAAAAGACACAAGAAAAGATTAAATTAATAGTATATTTAACCCACTGTATTCAAAATATTCCATTATTTAATCCATACAAAATTATTATGAAGTATTTTAGTGGATTTTTTATTCTATTAAAACCTTCTAAATTTGGTATGTAGTTTAGTCTTACAGCACATCTCAATTCAGACTTAAACGTATTTCAAGTGTTCAGTAGCTACACAGGGCTAGCGGCTACTTTATCAGATGCCCCAGCCCTATCTGATGAATTGTGTGTGGTCATGTGCATATGTGTATTTTTATTCTGTTTTCTTTGATGAAGAATATGAAAAAAAAAACTTACTCTTTGATTTTTCTGTAACTTTGTTAAAATAACAAATAAAAATTTGTCACCAAAGCATATTTAGAACAATACTGCAGAAGGTGAGGAAAAAACCATCTCCTAAAATAGTAATATCCTTGACTACTGTATAGATATATGAAGGAATCCCAGTTCTAAATTGTTGGGGAGCACTACCCCTAGGAGGAAAAGCTCTTCACAAGTAAGTTTCTTAGAATTTAGCATACTCTTTTTAACTTGTACCACAAAAACAGTTGCTAATTTGTTTGTTGATCAGTGATCAATGGAGGGCTTGTGATATGTACAGTGAATTTTATCCATTCCCTTATCTTTTAGCTTTGAGTACATTCATCTTTTAAGAGGAAACCATTTTTGGCTGGGCATGGTGGCTTATGCCTATAATCCCAATACTTTGGGAGGCCAAGGCGGGCAGAACACAAGGTCAGGAGTTCAACACCAGCCTGGCCAACATGGTGAAACCCCGTCTCTACTAAAAATATAAAAATTAGCTGAGCGTGGTGGCAGACATCTGTAATCCCAGCTACTCGGGAGGCTGAGGCAGGAGAAACGCTTGAACCTGGGAGGTGGAGTTTGCAGTGAGCTGAGATCGTGCCATTGCACTCTAGCCTGGGCAACAAGAGCAAAACTCCATCTTAAAATAAATAAATAATTAACTTTTTTTATTTTTGTGGGTACATAGTAGGTGTATATATTTATGTAGTACATGAGATGTTTTGATACAGGCATGCAATGAGAAATAAGCACATCGTGGAGAATGGGATATCTGTCTCCTCGAACATTTATCCTTTGATTTACAAACAATCTAGTTACACTCTTTACATTATTTTAAAATGTACAATTATTATTGTCAATAGTCGCCCTGTTATGTTATCAAATAATAGGTCTTATTGTTTCTATTTTTTTGTACCCATTCATCATCCTCTCCTCCCTTTTATCCCTCCATTATCCTCCTGAGCCTCTGGTAGCCATCCTTCTACTCTCTATGTCCATGAGTTCCATTTTTTGATATTTAGACCCCACAAATAAGTGAGAACATGTAATATTTGTCTTTCTGTACCTGGCTTATTTCACTTAACATAATGATCTCCACTTCCATCAGTATTGTTGCAGATGACTGGATTGTTTTTTTTTAATTGCTGAATAGTACTCCATTTTGTTTATGTACCATGGTTTTTTTTTTTTTGAGATGAAGTCTTGCTGTGTCACCCAGGCCGGAGTGCAATGGCGGAGTCTTGGCTCACTGCATGCTTTGCCTCCTGGCTTCAAGTAATTCTCTACCTCAGTGTCCTGAATACCTGGAATTACAGGCACTTGCCACCATGCCTGGCTAATTTTTTTGTGTTTTTAGTAGAGATGGGGTTTCACCATCTTGGCCAGGCTGGTCTTGAACTCTTGACCTCGTGATCCACCCGCCTCTGCCTCCCAAAGTGCTGGGGTTACAAGCATGAACCACCATGCCCAGCCTTTTTTTGTTTGTTTGTTTTTACTTTTTTTTTTTTTTTTAATTAAGCTCAGAGGTACAAGTGCAGGTTTATTACATACGTAAACTTATGTCAAAGACTTTTTTTTTTTTTTAAATTTAGATGGAGTCTCACTCTGTTGCCCAAACTGGAGTGCAGTTGCACGATCTTGGCTTCACTGCAACCTCCACTTCCAGGGTTCAAGCAATTCTCCTACCTCAGCCTCCCGAGTAGCTGGGTTACAGGCGCATGCCACCAAGCCTGGCTAATTTTTGTATGTTTAGTAGAGACAGGGTTTCACCATGTTGGCCAGGCTTTTCTCTAGCTCCTGACTTCAGGTGATCGGCCCACCTCAGCTTCCCAGAGTGCTAGGATTATAGGCATGAGCCACCGTGCCCAGTGGGAAGACCGTTTTTATTTAAATCATAATAATTGGGCCGGGTGTGGTGGTAGGCACCTGTAATCCCAGCTACTCGGGAGGCTGAGGCAGGAGAATCGCTTGAATCCAGGAGGTAGAGGTTGCAGTGAACTGAGATTGCGCCATTGCACTCCAGCCTGGGCGACAGAGTAAGACTCTGTCTCAAAATAATAATAATAATGATAATTAATCTATTCTGAATAAGGATATCAGTTACAATGTTTTAATTCCAGTAACTTTTTGTTTTAATTTCAGAGAGTTGGAAACTCAACTGTTAGAACAATGTACTGTTGACACAAGTGCTGCTAAAGAACAGAGCCTTCCCTCAGTGATGGGTAAATTCATTTTAAGTTGTTTAGGAGTGGTTTATACTCTCTTTTTATTTCTTCAACTTATATTTTAGTCTTTGCCCCATTGCATGGTTATTCTCTTTTCTCCCCATGCCACTCTCATGGCACTACTTCAACTATAAGCTCACCATTGAACTTTTAATCACCAAATTCAACAGCTTGATTTTAGTCAGCTTTTCTAGAACCATTGACATTGTGGATCATCATGTACTTTTGATATGCTTTATTCTCCTTGGCTTTCAGGATTCTTTTCCTTAGTAGTGATCTGTTACTTCTTCAAATATTCCTCTGGCTTCCTCTGCTCTTGCTTGCTCTACTGATACTCCACTAGGGACCTAGTGTTGGTTCCTTCTTTTTCTCTACTGGCTTTCTAAATGTGATCTCATCTACTCCCATGACTTCTACGTCTGCATGCTATTGATTCTCAAATGTGTCACTGGCCCTGATCCTCCTTCTGAACTTGATATTCATATTCCCAACTGATTATTAGAGATTATGCATGTCTCTAGGCACCCCAAACTTAAGATTTCCAAAAGTGAACACCTTATGTCTTTCCTCAAATACATTTCAATGATAAGATAAAGATAATAACATCTTCCTTGTCTCCCATTTTACAAAACTGGGAGTTATCATAGCCTTTCAATTCTTCCTCAGAAATCTCTTTCAGATCTCATTTTTCTCTCTTTTTTTTTTTTTAACCTTCTACATCGCTGAACACCTGACAGCAAAGACATTGTTTTAATCTAGGCCCTCATTTCTTGCTTGGATTACTACAGAAATCTACTCTCTGGATGCATTCAGTCTGTTTCACACCATTGCCAGGAATAACTTTGCACAAAATATTTTTATTTTTTTGAGACAGGATCTCACTCTGTTGCCCAGACTGGAAGGCAGTAGTGTGATCTTGGCTTACTAGTCTTCACCTCCTGGGCTCAAGCCATCCTCCAAACTCAGCTTCCTCAGTAGCTGGGACTACAGGCATGAGTCGCCACACCCAGCTAATGTTTTCTTTTTTGGTATTTTTTGTAGAATGGGATTTCGCCGTGTCACCCAGGCTGGTCTCAAACTCCTGAGCTCAAGCAGTCTACCAGCCCCGCCTCCCAAAATGCTGGGATTATAGCCTGAGCCACCCTGGTTGGCCAGTTTTTCACAAAATAAATATAACTACATTGCTCTTTTGCTTGAGAATTTTTGTAAGCTCCTACAAGTTAAAATCCAAGTTAACTATTTGATATAAATGTTTCTTCAAAATCTGACTTTGCTCTACCTCTTATCCTTGGATCACTAAACTTTATCCTTTGCTCCTTATTAAAGCTACAGTAAATTTCTTATAGTTGTCAATGGACTGTGAGTCCTAGCACAGCTCTTTACCTTAATTTATCCTATTTATTTCCCTGGGATGTTTTTCTTTGCCTAGTTGGGTTTTTGATCCCTCTGGATGACTCAGCTGGAATGTCATCTAAGGATGAAGCCTTCCTCATCTTCCCTAAGCAGAATAAATTGTTCCTCTCTGTTAAGCCCTTGGCAGTAATTTATCCTAGCACATATGACACATTCTTATTTGCCTGTTAATTTGCCTGTTTCCCCAGGAGACTTTGAGGATCCCTGTCTTATTTATTTTTCAATCTGTAGCACCTAGTATAGTGCTGGGGCATTGAATATATGTTGGAAAGGCAGGTTTTCAGGACACTTAGACTTGCTTATGTTTTCCTGTTGTTCCTTATTGGTAGGTAAGATAATAGCATTTTTCATTCTGTAGATCCAATTGTAGCTCTCAAGTTCCAGATTACATTGTTATGTGTTAGCATATTCTGGTGACAGGTAATTTATAAAAGGTCTTCAAATATAATAAATTCAGTATAGCATCCTAAGATGTTCTTTGTAAAGGCCTTTAAACCCAATATACTTCCATAAAATTATAAACAGCACATTCTTGGATATTCCTTTTCTAGCCAACCTTCTTGGACTGATTCTGAGTTTTCCCTTTAATACACCTCACAATCTGAGTCTGTGAAAGCATGCAGTCCTATAAAATTGTGGAATCAAATCATATCAATATTTGCTGAAGCAATAGGATCAGAAATGTAAACACAGCCAGGCGTGGTGGCACACACCTGCAGTCCCAGCACTCTGGGAGGCCAAGGCAGGTGGCTCACGAGGTTAGGAGATTGAGACCATCCTGGCCTACATGGTAAAACTCCATCTCTACCAAAAATACAAAAATTAGCCAGGCATGGTGGCGTGCGCCTGTAATCCCAGCCACTTGGGAAGCTGAGGCAGGAGGTGGAGCCCACGAGGTGGAGGTTGCAGTGAGCCAAGATCGAGCCATTACACTCCAGCCTGGGCGACAGAGGGAGACTCCATCTTAAAAAAAAAAAAAAAATGCAAACACATTTAAAATGTCTCTTTTCCTTCCAGGTTCTTAACAAAGATTACATGCAAGTCTAAGATATACTTGAGTATCCTAAGTGAATTTTGAATGAGTCTCTTTCATTTACTATTTAGAACTTAGTTGAAAAAAGAATTGGCCAGGCTCGGTGGTTCATGCCTGTAATCCTAGCACTTTGGGATGCCGAGGTTGGTGGATCACCAGAGGTCAGGAGTTTGAGACTAGCTTGGCCAATGTGGTGAAACCCTGTCTCTACTAAAAATGCCAGAAATTAGTTGGACAGCGTGGTGGTGGGCGCCTGTAATCCCAGTTACTCGGGAGGCTGAGGTAGGAGAATTGCTAGAACCCAGGAGACAGAGGTTGCAGTGAGCTGAGATCATGCCACTGCACTCCAGCCTCGGTGACAGAGCAAGACTTCGTCTTAAAAAAAAAAAAAAGTAACTCAAAAAGGCTAAGCTAGGTACACTGAGTGGAAAAATGTACAGTTTATATACTAACATGTTATGTTTCTTACTCTTCTAACTGAAATTTAAATGATTTTTTAGACCCAGAGTAAGTGAGTGCCTCTTGTTTCTATTCTAGTTTTTTGTTTTGTTTTATTTTTGAGATGGAGTCTTACTCTGTCTCCCAGGCTGGAGTCCTGTGGCATGATCTTGGCTCACCTCCACCTCCTGGGTTCAAGCAATTCTTCTGCCTCAGCCTCCTAAGTAGCTGGGATTACAGGTGCACACCACCATGCCTGGCTAATTTCGTATTTTTAGTAGAGACGGGGTTTCTCCATGTTGGTCAGGCTGGTCTCGAACTCCTGATCTCAGGTGATCTGCCTACCTCAGCCTCCCAAGGTGCTGGGATTACAGGCGTGAGCCACGGCACCCGGCCCCAAGGTTAAAAATTCTTAGTTTAGAGGCTGGGCGCAGTGGCTAACATCTGTAAGCCCAGCACTTTGGGAGGCTGAGGTGGGTGGATCATGAGGTTGGGAGTTCAAGACCAGCCTGGCCAACATAGTGAAACGCTGTCTAGTAAAAATTAGCCGGGTGTGGTGGCAGGTGCCTATAATCCCACCTACTCCAGAAGCTAAGGCAGGAGAATCACTTGAACCCGGGAGGTGGAGGTTGCAGTGAGCCAAGATCGCATCACTGCACTCCAGCAAGGGCAACAGGGCAAGACTCTGTCTCAAAAAAAAAAAACAAAAATTCTTGGTTTAGAAGACTTTAGATTAGAAAATTTTGTTTCTGAGACAGATTTTTGGCAACAAAATTATATAACAATGGTAACATATCCAAACATTCACTTTCCAAGGGCTCCCTATATTGAATGGAGATAGATACGCTTGGTATCCTTACGAGAACTTTGAGTGAGCCTCTTTCATTTAGTATTTAGAACATAATTCAAAAAAGAATGAATAGGTACTTTCTCACTCATTTTTTAAATGTCACCTTTACCTTGAAGAACAAAATTAAAAGACTGTTTTTTTAAAAATATGTATTTGGTTAGCACATTACTGACAACTATTTATTATCACAGGAAAGATAAACTTGAAACTTCGTTTTTTGCTTCAGTTTCCATGCTTTGTCTTGGCTTTGAATGATGGTATTTCTTCCCTTAAAGCAAACTTAATTTTTTTGTTAGACTTTGAGAAAACATAATAGTTGTGTTTTTAAATTTTTTTCTGAATTGAAAAATAGAAATGTGAAGGCAATTTAATAGACTGTTTTTAATTGTTAATAAAGTTTTATAATTCCGAATATTTATTTTAGGTTCAGTTCCAGAAGGTATCTTAGAGGACATTAAAGGTAAACTAAGTTCTCATTTTTGTTCTTTTCATCCTTAAGTGTTATTTTGGAGGGCATATGCTTCTAAACATTTACAAAGATAGAAAATATCTTCATAATATAATATCCTAAAAGTATTTAATATTTAGGCTCTGGGATACTCTAAGTAAAAATTTCGATTTCTTTTTTCACACTTAGGGAAGCTGTGGCTTAGTCATGATGTGTTCCTGAAGCAGCTTCTCAATTGTATACAGAGTATACAGGGTTACCAGGGAACTAGTAGTTTGCACAGTGTGAAAGAACAGTTAAATTGCTTAAGAAAGCCACTGGTTTGATATAGTATAGTCTTTAAATATTTTTATTAAAAAATTCTGGAATTGTGACCAAAGTACTACACAGTACATTGGATTCACCTAAGTGAGATTTATTGCTTCTACTTTGCTAGAGTGAATTTTATGATAATGTTCAAATTGGTTTTCTGGTATTTTTATTCACTAAAAGAAAATACATTTAAAATATAATCTTCAATACTTGGCATGTCATTAATGTTAACAATTTAGGATGTTTAATAGATAGACAGTAATGGATTTTAGAGTTAAATGAGACCTGGAGATAATCTAATACAGTTGGGGCTCTGAAATGTTAAATTATTTGTTCAGTGTCACACAGTAGGTAGGGTTAGAGCTAGGACTACAAAATAGATCTTGCTTTCCATTATATTACCTTATATCTTTTATGTGTTTTAATTACCTAAAATCTTTCCAATTGTTATAAAATTTCAAGCATTTGTAATGCTTAATACAGTAGCTCAAATAATACAGAAATATCTCAGGTAAAATGGTTTTCTTTCCATTTCTATCCTCCATCATATAACAATTGTTGACCATGTGGAGTGTTAACTTTTCATATGACCTCTAACCTGTGAAAATATGTTTAACTCTTCCATTAGGGAGACATCACATCAGATTGGCAAAAATTTGAAAGATACCTGGTATTAGTGAGATTGTAGGAAAATGAATGTTTATTGCTATTAGTAAGCATTGCCAACTAACCTTTTTGGAAAGCAATCTGGCATATTTATTAAAATTTAAAGGGTGCATCCCATCTAAAAAGGGAATATTGCATGAAGATTGGTAACTTCATTATGAGGAATGTCATGTAGCTGTTGAAGAGCTAGAGTATTGATTTGGAAGACAGTCTGTAATGTTAAGGAAGAAAGCATATTGCTGAAGATACATACAGTGGAAACCCTTTCTGATAAAAAACAAATACGGAGGCTGGGTGTGGTGGCTTGCCCCTGTAATCCTGGCATTTTGGAAGGCCAAAGTAGGTGAATCACTTGAGCCCAGGAGTACAAGACCAGCCTGGACAACGTGGCAAAACCCTGTCTCTACAAAAAATACAAAAATTAGCCAGATGTGGTGGTACAGACCTATAGTCCCAACTGTTTAAAGGGGTTGAGGTGGGAGGATCACTTGAGCCCGGGTTCTCCCAGTGGAGGCCTCAGTGAGCTGAGATCGGACCACTGCACTCTAGCCTGGGTGACAAAGCAAGACTGTGTCTCAAAAGAAAACAAAAACGAAAACTATTATGAAGCATACACACTTTGATTGTATTGTGTCATCTTGAACCCCGGAGGCAGAGGTTGCAGTAAACCAAGATCTCGCCATTGCACTCCAGCCTGGGTGACAGAGCGAGACTCTGTAAATAAATAAATAAATCTACAAAAAATTAGCCAGGCATGGTGGTGCACCACCTGTAGTCCCAGCTACTTGGGAGGCTGAGGTAGGAGAATCACTCGAATCTGGGAGGTGGAGGTTACAAGGTTGCGCCACTGCACTCCATCCTTTGTGAGGGAGTCTTGACTCCATCTCAAATTAAAAAAAAAAAAGATCTCAAGGCTAGGTATTTGCTTAAATAGTCAGAAGAACTTGAATAAAATATAAAACATATAAGTAGCTTTAGCGCCTAGCTCAGTCTAGCATAGTAACATTATGAATTCTCAACACGTGTTTTGAATTAGTGAATGAAATTCACTACGTAATGTATTTTGAAAAGAATTGTATATAATAGATGTATATCATATATCTGTGCATTATATCATATTATACATATTTCTTTTCATAATATATATAGCTAACATGCTTTACAAGTAATACAACCAAGTTGTCAGATTTCTTGCATTTAACATCAACTTTGTCTCTACTTTGAAGAAAGTATTTATTCCTTAACTATCTCAAAATACTTTTAAGCAACTTATAAAAGGTACTTTGCAACAAAAGAATTTTTTAAAGTTTTCAAAATGCAAAAAATAAAGTGATATAGTAGAAAGAAACTAGTAGTGTTGGGGTATGCTAACGAGGAACAATCATGACAAAAAGCCCAAAACTAAGGAGTGTCACATTGCAACTAAAAGCAAAATTTGGCATTGTACCAGCCAGGTGCGGTAGCCCACGCATGTAATCCCAGCACTTTGGGAAGCCAAAATAGGTGGATCACTTGAGGTCACAAGTTCAAGACCAACCCAGTCAACATGGCAAAACCCCATCTCTACTAAAAATACAAAAATTAGCCAGGTATGGTGGCGAACGCCTGTAATCCCAGCTACTTGGGTGGCTGAGGTACGAGAATCGCATGAACCCGGGAAGCAGAAGTTACAGTGAGCTGAGATTGTGCCACTACACATCAGCCTGGGCGACAGAGTAAGACTCTGTCAAAAAAAAAAAAAAAAAATGGCATTGTGTTCTGACCAACCAAGATTTTTATTAATTTTATTTCTCTTTTTTCCAATTTATTTTTGGTTACATCTTTAAAAAGAATCAGAGCGATGAGGAGAAAGAAAATCTGGTTAAAGAAATATGCTATTCAGTAAGAATAGCTACATTTTTATGATGCTAACATTAATTTTTATTGTAGTTCTCCTTATACAAGAAATATAAAACAACAATTTCCTCATAGGTTTTTTTTAAAATGAGGTTTTATACAAGATGAATGTACAACATGTCTTATGATACCTCAGTCAATGAAAACTTTCTTTTTATGAATAAATTATTGTTAGCTAGCTAAAGATGGGAATAGAGTTTATAAAATCCAAAGGAATAGATGATTAGCATGTTTACTTGAATAGAATTGTTTTAACTGGGTTGTAGGTTCACTCTGTTCAATTATAATCAACTAGCCATAACAAGGTCTCCTTTTCTTTCTTTAAGTGCGTACTTGCTTTGTAAGTGATCTGAAGCGAGGACTAAAAATCCAAGCAGCTAAATTTAATATTGATGGGAATAATGAGGTAAGTTAAAAAATAATGCAACTTTTTGCAAAGGTTACAACATGTGTGGACTTACGTTTATGATATTTATATTTCAGCGTCCCTCACCACCCCCAAATATTGACTATCCATTAGATGGAGAGAAGATTTTACATGTCCTTGGATCAATCAGGTTAGATATTAATTTTTATGGACAAAGTAGTAAACTAAAATAAACTTTTGGCTTTTAAAGATATTTGTATGAGCCTTTATTTCACCATTGCCAATCTAACAGTTAAGTTTTGTTAAGCCTCATTATTCATAATTCATTTTATTCAGCTTTTTTTTTGAGACAGGTCTCACTCTGTTGCCCAGGCTGGAGTGCAGTGGCACCATCTCGGGTCACTGTAATCTCCGTCTCCTGGGTTGAAGCAATTTTTCTGCCTCAGCCTCCCAAGTAGCTGGGATTACTGGTGCCTGCCACCACGGCTGGCTAATTTTTGTATTTTTTTAGTAGAGGCGAGGTTTCACCATGTTGGCCAAGCTGGTCTCAAACTCCTGACCTGGGGTGATCTGCCTGCCTCGGCCTCCAAAACTGTTGAGATTACAGGCCTGAGCCACCGTACCCAGCCTATTCAGCTTTTTGATTTTTTTTTTAAAAATTCTCTCCTATTTGAGAATTTTTCGTAATTGAGAATTATTTCAGTTAATGAAACTAAGCATTCTTTGAAGTGGAGCAGGAAGTGTGATACTTTAAAACAGGGATTAGCAAAATATTTCAGTAAAGGACCAGATAGTAAACAGCTCAGGCTTTATGGTTCCATATGATCTCTGTTGCAACCACTCAACTCTACAGTTGGAATACAAAATTAGCCATAGATAATATGTAAATGAGTGAGCATGACTGTGTTCCAGTAAAACTTTATTTGCAAAAACAGGTGGTGGCTGGATATTATTCTCAGGCCATGGTTTGCTGACTCCTGCTTTAAAACTTTTTCTTTTTTTTTTCTGAGACGGAGTTTCACTCTTGTTACCCAGGCTGGAGTGCAATGGCGCGATCTCGGCTCACCGCAACCTCCGCCTCCTGGGTTCAGGCAATTCTCCTGCCTCAGCCTCCCAAGTACCTGGGATTACAGGCACACGCCACCATGCCTGGCTAATGTTTTGTATTTTTAGTAGAGATGGGGTTGCACCATGTTGACCAGGATGGTCTCGATCTCTTGACCTCGTGATCCACCCGCCTTGGCCTCCCAAAGTGCTGGGATTACAGGCTTGAGCCACCGCGCCCAGCTAAAACTTTTTCTCAGAAAGAATGCATTATTCCATATAGACTCAGTCTTTATGAGTCAGTAATTGACTTTTATGATTCATTTGATTATTCTGATGACCCAATATAAGTTGTTGTTAAAGACTTACATAATCATATTAGTAATGACATTTGTTTATAACCCAACTTTATAAAATTTATATTATAAAAATTTCCTTGTAAAATATAAGGTCAGAAGAAGCACACAAATAATTATTGTGTAACATATTGAACATCCTATTAGGTTTTGAGTTAATGTAGAGATTGAAGTATTAAAAGAATGAACATAAATATACAGAAGTTAAAGACAACGGTAGGACAAGGTAGCAAAAGAGTCAGAATGTAGTACTTTTTGCTAGCTATTTTTATATCATTTTAATTTCTCATTTAAGTTGTATTTATTAAGTTATTTTTAAAAATTTTCTCCTGCTTGTTTATTGGATCACAGTATAAGAGAAGAATATAACTATTTAAGGAACTACAGAGGCCAAGCATGATAATTCACACTTGTAATCCCAGCACTTTGGGAGGCGGAGGTGGGAGGGTATCTTGAGCCCAAAAGTTCAGGACCAGCCTGGTCAACATATTGAGACCCTGTCTCTACAAAAAAAAAAAAAAAAAAAAAAAAACTTTTTTTTTTTTTTTTTTTTTTTAACGTAGCCAGGTATGGTGGTACACACCTGTAGTCCTAGCTCTTCAGGGAGCTGAGTTGGGAGGATTACTTGAGCCCAGGAGTTTGAGGTTACAGTGATCTATGATTATGCCGCTGTACTTCAGCCTGGGCAACAGAGTGAGACCCCCATCTCTTTTCTTTTTTTTATTAAAAAAATTTTTTTGTAGAGATGGAGTCTCACTCTGTTGCCCAGTTGATCTCAAACTCCACTCAAGCAGTCCTCCCGCCTTGCCCTCCCAAAGTGTTGGGATTACAGGCATGAGCCACCGTGACCAACTCCCCATCTCTATTTTCTTTAACAAAAAAAAAGGAAATTCAATGAACGTGAAATTTTTGCTTCCAAAATAATAGGAAAATGTATTGTGAATAAAGGAAACCACTATGTCCTATATTCCAAACTCAACTAATTTAGGTTTGCTAACATGTTTTTTCTACCAAAAGATCTAGTTCCATTGAACCCTTCTAATTAGACACAGTAGTTGATTGGTAAATCAAGAGTAGGGCTGTTTAAAATAAAGGGCCGGCCAGGTGAAGTGGTTCATGCCTGTAGTCCCAGCACTTTGGGAGGCCAAGGCGGTTGGATCACCTGAGGTCAAGAGTTCGAGACCAGCCTGACCAACATAGAGAAACTCTGTCTCTACTAAAAATACAAAATTAGCCGGGTGTAGTGGCCCATGCCTGTAATCCCAGCTACTCAGGAGGCTGAGGCAGGAGAATTGCTTGAACCTGGGAGGTAGAGGTTGCATTGAGCCTAGATCGAGCCATTGCATTCCAGCCTGGGTAACAAGAGCAGAACTCCATCTCAAAAATAAATAGGGACCATTATAAAAAGAATATACTAAACATTTTATTTTAACTTAAAAGTTGTGTATATTTATAACTTTTTTCTAAGACCTTTTCTTTGAGGCTAAGTCTGCTTATAGAGTTCTGAGTTAAAATTATATAAACCCGTAATTCATAATTTATGATTTCCAGCTTTTTTTTTTAATAGGTACAGTGAGAACTTAAAGTTACTAGGAATGAGTTTTGGTACAGAATCCATCTAGTTGACCAGGCATGTTGGCTCATGCCTGTAATCCCAGCACTTTGGAAAATCAAGGCGGGCAGATCAGTTGAGGTCAGGAGTTCAAGACCAGCCTGGCCAGCATGGTGAATCCCCATCTCTACTAGAAATAATAATTTAAAAAAACAGAATCCACCTAGTTATTTTCTTCTAGACTTTAACATTTGTGTCACCTATGTTACAAATATTTTTAATAATTACCTTGTCTTTCCAAATAATATTGTTAAGTTATAATAATAATTGTTAAGTTATGTAATTTTAATATCAAGTCAGCTGACAAAAGATTCAGAACAAGAAAAGTGACTCTTTGTAAGCATGCAACTTAACTAGTGGAGGAAGTCTGCAAGGCATAGTGGCAAGCGGCTGACCAGCAATGCCTATTCAGCATACTGCAGGCCTGAGTTAGTATACTTTAGGGGTGAAGTGAAAAGAATTAGCTAGTAGATTGAGTCTCATGAAGAGAATTTTGGTTTTGAAAAGGATTTTTTAAAGCTTCAAAATAGTTATGCATAATATCCCAATTTTATAAAAAACAGAGTTTATACCTGCATATGTATAGTTAATTTTGTATTGCGTTGGTTAGGATTTGGTTTGGTCACAGTTATACAAACCTGAACATAGTGGCTTCAACAAGTTACAAGTTTACCTCTTGTTTAAAAGAAGTCCAAGGTTGTGTGTGGGGGCTCACGCCTATAATCCCAGCACTTAGGGATGCCAATGCTGTTGTATCGCTTGAGCCCAGATGCAGTGGTTACAGTGAGCCAAGATTGTACCATTGCACTCCAGCTCGAGCAACAGGCGAAGACTCTATTTCAGAAAGTTAAAAATTAAAAGAAGTTCAGAGGTAGATCATCCAGGGATGATATTATCATCTCATATTAGAGACCCAAACATTTTTCCATCTATCATCTCTGGGATGTAGCCCTTGACCTTGAGGTCAAGGATGGCTGTTCGAGTTGTAGCTACCATGTCTTTGTTTCAAGCAAGTAGTGCTAAGAAGGGAAAAGAAGGGAAAGAAGAAAGTGCTTAACTCTTAATTAAAAGTCCAACATAGGCCGGGTTTGGTGGCTCATGCCTGTAATCCGAACAGTTTGGGTGGTTGAGACAGGCCAGGAGTTTGAGACCAGCCTGGCCAACATGGCAAAACCGTGTCTCTACTGAAAATATACAAAAAATTAGCTGGGTATAGGCCGGGCGCGGTGGCTCAAGCCTGTAATCCCAGCACTTTGGGAGGCCGAGACGGGTGGATCACGAGGTCAAGAGATCGAGACCATCCTGGTCAACATGGTGAAACCCCGTCTCTACTAAAAATACAAAAAATCAGCTGGGCATGGTGGCGTGTGCCTGTAATCCCAGCTACTCAGGAGGCTGAGGCAGGAGAATTGCCTGAACCCAGGAGGCGGAGGTTGCGGTGAGCCGAGATCGTGCCATTGCACTCCAGCCTGGGTAACAAGAGCGAAACCCCGCCTCCAAAAAAAAAAAAAAAAAAAAAAAAAAATTAGCTGGGTATGGTTGCGCAGACCTGTAATCCCAGCTACTTGGGAGCCTGAGACATGAGAATCGCTTGAACCTGGGAAGCTGATCTAGATCAAGCCACTGCACAGAGTGAGAATCTTGTCTCAAAAGGAAAAAAAAAAAAGTCCCACCTATTACTTCTGTCTCGATCTCATTGTCTGATATGTAACTACATCTAGTTGCAGGAGAAACTGGTTTTTTGTTTGTTTTTTGCTTTTTTAAGAGACGAGGTCTCACTGTGCTGCTCAGGCTGGTTTCGAACTCCTGGACTCAAGCCATTTCCCTGCATTGCCCTTAGCCTCCTAAAATGCTGAGATTATAGGCATGAGCCATTGCACCTGGCCAGAGGCTGGTAAATTATAGTGTTTTAACTAGTGGGATGGGGTGAGAGGCACAATGTATCTGGCTTTAAAATGGAGTTTTATCTTTTTTAATTTTCAAATAATACAGATTAACAGGCAGTTACAAACGATAATACAGAAAGGTCCCATATACCCTTTCAGTTTCTTCCAATGGTTAAACACCTTATATAACTATAATATGATATCAAAATAGTAAATTGACATAAAGTATATGTAAGTTCTGTGTTATTTTATGTGTAGATAAAATACAACTACAACAATGGAGATATAGAACTATTGGCAGACACAGAAAGAAAAATACTGCTTGATCTCACTTATATATGTGGAATCTAAAAAAAAAGTCAAGTATCTAGAAACAGAAGGTATTGAGAGGGGAAGGAAATGAGGAGAGAGTCAAAGGACACAAACTTGCAGTTATGAGTGATGAATAAGCCTAGAGATCTAATGTATGGCATGAGGACTCTAGTTAGTTACACTGTGTTCTATACTGAAAATTTGCTAAGAATAGATTTTGGGTGCCCTTACTACCCAAAAAAAAAAAAAAAGTAACTCTGGAAGGTGCTGGATAGGTTAATTAGCTTGAATATAGTAATTACTTCACTGTGTGTGTGTGTGTGTATATATATGCCACACACATAGATCTATATACACACACACCACAAGTTGTAGCTATATACATCATGATGTATATATAAACATCATATTGTATACCTCAAATATAATTTTTTTTTTTTTTTTTTTTTTGAGACGGAGTTTCACTCTTGTTACCCAGGCTAGAGTGCAATGGCGCGACCTCGGCTCACCGCAACCTCCGCCTCCTGGGTTCAGGCAATTCTCCTGCCTCAACCTCCTCAGTAGCTGGGATTACAGGCACGCGCCACCATGCCCAGCTAATGTTTTTGTATTTTTAGTAGAGACGGGGTTTCACCATGTTGACCAGGATGGTCTCGATCTCTTGACCTCGTGATCCACCCGCCTCGGCCTCCCAAAGTGCTGGGGTTACAGGCTTGAGCCACCGCGCCCGGCCTACCTTAAATATAATTTTTTTAAAGATACAGAACTCTTTCATCACCACAAAGATCTTCCTCATGCTATCAAAAAGTAATGAGTGATTTTAATTTGAGAATTAACTGGAAAATGGATGTTTTATTAGGGAACTGGTGATCTTTGTCTTGTATTATTTTAAAAAACAAAGAAATGGGGGGGTGGTTGCTTATAAATCTCTTGTATCACTAGCTAATTTGTTTGTTGAATCTTACTAACTTTTACAGAATACTGTTTCTTTTCTCTTATTAGGTTTGGGGAGTTATAATTGGACACAAAATAAATGTAAACCTATACATAATAATAGTAACAGCTAATAACTTAGAGAATGCCTCCTATATGCCAGACCCCGTTCTGTTAACTCATTGCATCTTCCCCTCAACCCGTGAAGCAGGCATTGTTATCCTCCCCATTTACGAGTGAGAGCACCTTGTATTTTAATAATTATTCTGTGGTAATGTAGTATTGGTACTTAAAAATATACTGTGTAAATGGAAAAATGGTATATTCTGCGTCATATTGTAATATGTGACACCAATAGAATGCTCTCTTTTTCAAATCCCATTAGAGATTCGGTTGTGGAAATTCTTTTTGAACAAGATAATGAAGAGAAATCAGTTGCCACTTTAATATTGGATTCCCTTATACAGGTATTTTATCTTGTCAAAAAATTCCCTTTATTATTACAGTCCTTTAAAGAAAAATTTTAAATGTTATTTTAGGCAACTAGCAATCCTCGTCATATGTTATTTTTAAGAATAAAGAAATCTGGGGGCTGGGTGTTTGTTTTTAAATACCTTGTGTCAGCAACTAATCTGTTTGTTGAATTTTATTAACTTTTACAGAATATGGTTCCCTTTTTTAACTTTTTAAACTTTTATTTTAAAATTTTATAGTTAATAAGTTTTACTTTGGCACTGAGAAATGGTATCTACAACATTCCAAACCCCATGATAATGAGTGCCATGGACATGTGCATTATTTTAAGAACAGGGACCAGATTTTTATTTTGTACCTAGTGTGGCTTGTAGTTTCTTCCAGTTCAGCGTTGTATAGTATTCAGTTTTAAATTCCACAGGACCTATGGTAATAATATGTTTCTTTTGTTTAATGACTATGTAATTATAGGACTTCACGTGAAATACCATTGCTTTGGAAGATACTGTTTACCTCTAGGGCTCCATTCATTGAAGGACCTTATCATTGTTAATTCTTAGAGAACTGATGTAGAAACCTAATTTTTCTAGAAGTGTTATCTTTCCACTTAACAACTGACACTGTGAATACGCCTTAGAAAAATGAAATTTCCACATACTTCCCTTACCCCAAAAAAAGAGAAGTTATTTCTTCTCATGGTCTTTGCCCAACTTAATCATTGCTACCCTGAAAATGAGAACACTTACATATTACTGCCGTATGCCTTATGGAATGTAAAATCCTATGCTATTAGAGTCTAAAATATCTTAAAATTTTTAAAGTTTTATGTATATATTTGGCAGTATTTTCATAGTGGTTATATTCGCTACATGAAAGAAACCTTGCTGTGGCCCTTTTTATGATACAAATGATCACCTATTTAATCTGTAGTACATACTTGTATGTTTTCTTAAGTTCAGCCAAGCATTATTCGTACAGTTCAGAATAAAGCCTTCTTTTTCTCTTTCTTTTTAATAACAGTGTCCGATAGACACCAGGAAGCAACTAGCAGAGAATTTGGTAGTCATAGGTGGCACTTCTATGTTGCCAGGATTTCTCCACAGATTGCTTGCAGAAATACGGTATTTGGTAGAAAAACCAAAATATAAAAAAGTACTTGGCACTAAGACATTTCGAATTCATACTCCACCTGCAAAAGCTAACTGTGTGGCCTGGTTGGGAGGTAAGAGTTTCACTTTTAAAATATAATGATTATACAGTAATTGGTCTCTGAATGACACTATTAATGGATATATTATAATCATTCCGGGTTCAGAATTGTCCATTTTATAAATAGAAATAACATTGACTTTTTCTTAAACTATATTAATTTTCAGAATTTTATATCTCTCGGCATTTGCACTGTGATATTAAGTAAGCTTCCTCATTTAAAGTCATCCCTCAGAATAGTGAAAGCTTTGAATTTATTCTAGTGATGCTACCATTTCTTAAAGCATTTATTTTAATGTCTTCCAAAGCTAGTCAGTCACGTAAGAAAATCGATCTCTTTGTTTTATAACTATACTTTGTGACTGAGTTCATTAAATGTTTTAAGTAATGATGGTTTTACTGAAATAAGAAAATAACCTAATAAGTACAGTTGACCCTTGAACAACATGGGTTTGAATTATGTGGGTCTACTCATATGCAGTTTTAGAAAATATGTTGAAAAATTTTTGGAGATTTGCAGCAATTTGAAAAAACTCACAGACAAACCACGTAACCTAGAAATATCAAAAAAAGAAAAAGATATGTCATGAATGTATAAAAATTATATATGTAGATACTGGTCCGTGTATGTGGTAATTGACTGTGTTATTGGTAAGACTTCTCAGTCAACATTAGACTATTAGTAGTTAAGTTTTGGGGGAGTCAAAAGTTATGCATGGATTTTCAACTGCTTGGGGGTCCACATCCCTAATCCCTGTATTGTTCAAGGGTCAGCTGTAACTATGAAGGGAAAAACAATCATGAATGTGTACATTTATATATGTTCTGATATGTGTTTTATGATGCAGTTAGAGCTAGTAGGTATCAGGATTGTACATTCAGAGAGACAAAGTGGTGTGACATTTTAAAATGAATGTTACATTATTTCTTGTAAAATTGGTCAAGACATAGTTTTGATCTAGGACAAACTGATTTAGTAACTGAATTATTTTTAAAAGACTGCCTTGTGGGGCTTAATAAAGTCTATATTGAATATAGAATGTTAGCACATTATAATAATGTTTAGTGAGTTTTGCAGTACCATTTTATTTATTGATATGTAACCTTAGTTGTGACAGAGAAAACTGAGAATCTTACTGATTGTATTCACTATTATCTGTGAAAGGCCATGTAAATTACTTTAACACAGAAGTTATGGCTTACCCTATTATTCAAAATATAAAATAAAGAATGGCTTCCTTGGAATTACTTTGAAGATTGTGGCTATGAATTGCCGAATTTTACCAGTGCACTCTTGTCATATAGTGAAGTAGATGTATATGTACATAAAGTTTTCTGGTAAAAGTTTTCATCTTAGCTATAAAAAATATTTTTGTCACACAGGGGCTATTTTTGGAGCATTACAAGATATACTTGGGAGCCGTTCTGTTTCAAAGGAATATTATAATCAGACGGGCCGTATACCTGATTGGTGTTCTCTCAATAACCCACCTTTGGAAATGATGTTTGATGTCGGGAAAACTCAACCACCTCTGATGAAGAGAGCGTTTTCCACTGAGAAATAGAAGTTTGATTAAAAATCAACCTTGCTTTATTTCAAATGCTTAATCAATTATAAGCAAATTGTACAAAGTATGTAGGATGTTTTGTTATAGAGGACTATAGTGGAAGTGAAAGCATTGCTGTGTTTACTGTTTGCATTAGTATTTAATTCTTTTGACTTTGTTTCCTTGTGTAGTGGTAAAATGGTAGCTGGTGCTTATTGAGATTTGTTGTATTTATATCAATAAAGTACAGTAAAGCAGATTTTGGAAGTTTGTTATGTAGCTTGTTTTTCAAAAAGAATATTATTTCTCCACAGTTCACATAACCTGTTCCAGTATCAATTGATTTTATTTCTAGCAGTTACTTCATTTAAAGCATAAATCGCTGGGCGCGGTGGCTCAAGCCTGTAATCCCAGCACTTTGGGAGGCCGAGGCGGGTGGATCACGAGGTCAAGAGATCAAGACCATCCTGGCCAACATGGTGAAACCCCGTCTCTACTAAAAATACAAAACATTAGCCGGGCATGGTGGCACGTGCCTGTAATCCCAGCTACTCAGGAGGTTGAGGCAGGAGAATTGCCTGAACCCAGGAGGTGAAGGTTGCGGTGAGCCGAGATCGCGCCATTGCCCTCCAGCCTGGGTAACAAGAGCGAAACTCCATCTCAAAAAAAAAAAAAAAAAAGCATAAATCATGTTAACCATTACCTGCTATTTCAAATACTAACATGGGTCCATTAAAAAATCATTTTTTTTTTGAGATTGAGTTTCGCTCCTGTGGCCCAGACTGGAGTGCAATGGCACGATCTTGGCCCATCGCAACCTCCACCTCCCGTGTTCAAGCGATTCCCCTGCCTCAGCCTCCCGAGTAGCTGGGATTACAGGCATGCGCCACCACGCGTGGCTTTTTGTATTTGTAGTAGAGACGGGGTTTCTCCATGTTGGTCAGGCTGGTCTCAAACTCCCGACCTCAGGTGATCCGCCCTCCTCAGCCTCCCAAAGTGCTGGGAATACATGCATGAGCCACTGTGCCCAGCCCTTAAAAAGTTCTTTATTTTGGTACATGGGTGTCCATGTTATAATAATGTTTTTCCAGAAATATACTTGATCTTTGGACGGAGAATGTTTGGTAATACAGTCAGGCATTTGTTAAGCAAAGTGTGGAAATGTTCACTTTTTAACTTTACAGTTCCTTTTATGAGCAATTCTACATTTCTAAGAGAAAAGATACTTCATTTTTATATAAAGCATTTTATAATTGCTTTGTAAAAATGCATTCATAATGCCATTAATCTTTGCTTTTGTGCTTTATATCTTCTCAGGGCAAAGATTCTTTGAAATATGTACTCGGTCATTTAACTTTTATTTATTCATTTGTTTTTAATGAACTACCTCATATTCAAATTTTGATGATTTCATTCTTTGTGGATACTTGTGTCCTCTAGTCCTACCACTCTTCCACAGCACTCTTTCCCTAAGCACAGCATCCATAACTGGGGCACTTCTAACTTTTACCTTGTAATTGCTTCAACAGGGGTTTTATCTTCCTTTCTGGAATATAAGCTCCATTAGAACAAAGCTTTTCTATTTCTTAACTTTGAAACCTCCCAGTAGGAGTGCCAGGAATAGGTATGCTATTAATTGCCAGTTGGATGGAGTTACTATTTTATTAACATTATCTCTTTTTTCAGTAAACATAATTTTAAAATTCTCTACTTTGCATTTATATTGACCTCACCTTTTGTTAAGTTTAGATTATTTATGAGAAGTTTTCATCATTGAATAATATCAAAAACAGGATCTGTGACTAAACTAGAGATTTAAAACTAGCTCTAAAGTAGCAGACAACTAGTAGCTGAGGTTAAAGAATGTAACCCTCTGTTATGGGTTGAATTGTGTCCCTCCAAAAGATATATTGAAGTCCTAACCCCTGTATCTTGTGAACATGACCTTATTTGGAAATAGAGTTGCAGATATAGTCAAATTAAGATGTAATCATTAGTGTGGGGCCCAGATCCAGTATGACTGGTGTCTTTGTAAGAAGAGGAAGCCCGTTGTGGTGGCTCATGCCTGTCATCCCAGCACTTTGGGAGGCCGAGGCGAGTGGATCACTTGAGGTCAGGAGTTTGAGAACAGCCTGACCAACATGGTGAAGCCTCCTGTCTACTGAAAGTACAAAAATTAGCCAGGTATGATCGTGCATGCCTGTAATCCTACTTGGGAGGCTGAGGCAGGAGAATTGCTTGAACTGGGGAGGTGGAGGCTGCAGTGAGCCGAGATCATGCCACATCACTCCAGCCTGGGTGACAAAGCAAGACCCTGTCTCAAAAAAAAAAAACCCTAAGGAAAGGCATGACTAACATATTCCAGGTTTGACAAGGAGGTCAATTTGGCTCATGTAGAATGCTCAAGGAGAAGAAAAGCAATAGTAGATGGGGGAGTGGTGGGCGTTATCTTATAAGGATACATCTTACTGAATGAAACGGTACCCTTAGATGGTTCTGAATGGAATAATGACAAGATCTGGCTTGTTTAAATTAGATTATTCTGGATGTTGTGTTAGGAATAGAGTTTAGAGAGACAAACTGAAGCAGGAAAGTCAGTTAAGAAACCATTGCTGTAATCCCAGTGAGATGATGGTTTAAACCAGGGTGCTATCAGTAAAGATCAGAAGCCTGATTGGATATATGGAGGGCAGACCTACAGGATTTTCTGATAGATATGGCGTGGATGTTTCAATTACCTATTGCTTTGTAAAAAACTTCTAAAAGTTAATGGCTTAAAACAATAGGAATTCTATTTGCTTATGGTTTTGTGGGTCAGGAATTCAGGCAAGACTCAGGTGAGCAGTTATGTTCCATGTCATATGAGCTGGAGATAGTCACCTGGCTGTATGTAATTGGTGTGCTGGGATGGAAGGTCTAGGACAGCCTTGTTTACAAGTCTCAGTGTCAGTGCTCTTCACATGGCTTCTCTGTCTTCCACATGCCTCTCTCCATGTGGCTGGCTTAGGCTTCCTCAGCATGGCAGTCTCAGGGTACTGACTTTTTACTTGGCAGCTTGCCAAGCCCCAATGTGTGCGTTCTCGAACACACTGCAGCATGCTTTCTGTTGTCCTGTTAGCCAAAGCTAGTCACATGACCAAGCTCACAGTGAATATGGGAGGGGAATATTGAAGGACACTTTCACAGTGGGGTTGGAGAGATAGGAATCAATAATGTTTCCAATATTTTTTATCCATGCCACTAGAAGGATGGTGTTACTGTTAATAGGGGGAAAAAAAGGAAAACTATAGGAGAAACAAATTTTCAGGCAAAAATCAATAGTTTTTGTACATGTTAAGTATGAGATGCCAGGTGTGGTGGCTCATGCCTGTAATCCCCGCACTTTGGGACGTCAAGGCAGATAGAGCACAAGGTCAGGAGATCAAGACTATCCTGGCCAACATGATGAAACCCTGTCTCTACTAAAAAAACAAAAATTAGCCAGGCTTGGTGGCTCATGCTTGTAGTCCCAGCTACTTAGGAGGCTGAGGCAGGAGAATTGCTTGAACCCGGGAGGCAGAGGCTGCAGTGAGCCGAGATTGCAGCACTGCACTCCAGCCTGGGTGACAGAGTGAGAGTCTGTCTCAAAAAAAAAAAGTATGAGATATCTACTACACATCCAAATGAATATAGACATTTGACATTTAAGAGAGAGAGATCTGGGCTCACTTAAAAGTTGTGAATCACCAGCAAGTATCTGGTATTTAAAACTGAGAGATCACCAAGTGCATGAGTGTGGACAGAGAAGAGGACCAAGGACTCACCCATCCCTTGAGTACTCCCAAATGAAGAGACAGGAGAGAAAGGAAGTAGCTGGTGAGATGGGGAAGAAAATGAGAGCATTTGTGTCCAACATGGAGTGATCAAATTTGTAATAAATTTCTGATAGTTCAAGTTAATTAGGCTTTGCAGTTAATTAGATTTAGTAATGTGGAGATTAATTATGACCTTTTCATGTACAGTTCAGTAGACTAGTGAGGTGTGCCAGGAGGGGCAGGAAGTCCTGAATAGGGTGGGTTGAGAAGAGCAAGAAGTGCCTGACATCTGGGAACTAACCTACAACAGGTAAGCCTCAATGCTATTACAGATTGATATGACGCTTTCAGCAAACTGCTTTTCTTCTGTTTTTCACATAACATACACTTCAGACAAGTTGGTCACTGTCCAACTCAAAACAGCAAATATCCCTCTTGCTGAATGAGTGACTGTTAACTTTATCAATTTCACCTTTATTCCTCCTTTAGTCTGCCATCCTTATAGATACAATTTCAGATCCTAGAATTGCCCTGATTTTCTGAGAGCACCCAATTCAGAACAAGCCCCTGCTGCTTGCTTAGACCCTCCACCAAATTACGCAACAAAAGCCGAGATCCTATACTCACCATCTTACTGGATCACCCCGGCTTCTGCCTTGTTGCCATGAGTAATAAACTAATTGTATTTGACAACAGGTGTGGGGGTTTTCTGGTTTGTTTTTGTTTTTGTTTTTGGTCTGTGGCTGAAGGGCATCATCAGGGTTAAGAGACGGGAGGAGGGAAAACTTGAGCTTAGTCCAAAAGGGGATGGGCTTTTGCTCCAAAGGGGAACAGAAATAGAATGGCAGCTTGTGAGGAAACTAGGTCGAAGTTTTTAAGATAAATAACGCATGTTTGTGTGTTGAACAAAAAAAATCAAGAAGAGAGAAAAACTGATTTTTAGTTGAGAGCTGGGGGATGACACGTGGAGGGTACAGGATCCAGGGCTTTAGGAAGGGTTGGCTTCAGGTAGGAAGGACTATGGACTGTTCGCCTCGGTGGTTTGGTGGGTGAAACCCTGGAATGTGTCTGGCTGTGGTGGTCTCAGTGGGCGAGGATGTTCTCCTGATTACTTCACAGTTCTCAGTGCAAAGGGGAGAAGGCGGAAACCTTTCCTCCTTCACATACCCAATTGCCCATCGTAATTTCCACATCTCAGTTCTTTTTGTGCGTCTGTTTTGTGCGTCTTCCAAGAGCCTTTACTGGAATCTTAACTTACTAGTATCAATCCCCAAGAATGGAAAAAAACTTGATGTATGCACTGGTGGTATAAATCTCACTACAGAAAGAACTATTTTTCACTATATGTTTCTTCAGGGATAGACCCCATATTAAGAGGAAGAAAAAGAAGAGAGAGGAGAGAGAGAGAGCGCGCGCGAGCGGGGAAGAAATTGGAAAAATTGTTTCTTTCTCTTCGGAGTCCTCGGATGC